GTAGGAGAAGGTGAACACACTATTTGACAGTGTGATCTTGTGACGATTTAAGCGAGGCTGGTAGTTGTAGATTGGACGCAGCAGGAAGCTCACCCCTTCCAGCAGGAAGGCAAGCCAGTACAGCAGGGACAGGGGAGGGATCCAACTGGAATTAGGGCGTAAGCCCCATTTCTTGCTCAGGTTGTAATTTAAGTCATCATAGCTTTGGTGAGGAGTGTCATCTGAGATGTAGTAGAACTGTCCTTGGATGTTTGGTGACTTCTTGGGGTCTCGTAGGCCCCTGGCAGCCAGAAAGTGTGCCCAGGCCACATTGCAAACGTATACTGGGTTGGCTATGGAGAATTTGCCCCAAACATCCAGAGTATCATTATTTTTGAGAGCCCCGATCATTGCGATAGAAATAAATGGACTTTTCTCCCCATAGATGTACATAGGCCTTAAGGAACAAGTATGCAAAGTGCCACCATCTTTCAGGGTGCGCCCATTGGCTGCCAGCACTGCCTTCTCAGCCATCTTTTTGCTGTATGGGTATGGATCAGACCATTTATTTTCACGTTCTTCTTGCTCATGGCCATTCAGGACGATCTCCTTGTACGAGTTGGGCCCTGCAACATCAACAGAGCTGGTGTAGATGAAGGCTGGCACACTTGCCTGGACACAGGCCTCCAACAGCTTCTGGGTACCTAAGCACAGACAACACAGTGTCAGGGTCACAAAATCAACCAAGGAGTCCACATGGTTCCTGTTCCCTTCCACCCTAATCCCAGCTCCCTGCTGCATTCTTTGCTGTTTCTGGATCAGCAGGGGCTTAAATTTACGAGCAATAAAAAGGACAATGGTGACATGTGCTATCTGCTCACCCTGGTTTCTGGCCTTCCAGCCTTTACAGATTCTTGTCTTTCTCTGCCTGCGAACTTTGATTCTGGTGAAGCAGAAAGGCTTTTTACTCTGTACTTTGGCAACATAGCTTTAAGAATGAGAATTTGCTGTTTGTATCATTTCATTGTTTTCTCTTGAGCCTGCTGGCGAACTGAAAAAGAATATGTATCTACTGCTAGTCGTTCCTGTAATGGCAGAATACTATAGACATAGTGCAGACCTGCAGATCCTGGAGGAGAGGCAAGGACACCATCCCTTGAGGAAGGAATGTCCTGGGCAAGGAGATATTTTTACTATTACCATTCACCCATTCATTAATAAGTCCTTCTGCAACTTGATTTCCTGGAGAAATCAATTATCTTAAGTTAAATATATTTTCTAATTAAATTTGGACTTTGATGATTAAATTTTTGAGGGGGGTGGTGGATAGCATTCACTGTGAAATATTTAGTAAAATAATGCCTTAATCACTATTTCTGTTATTTCACATTCCTGCTGGGCAACACAAGAGGTAATTGTTATAGGTGAGAGATGGTTGAGGAACACCAGAGGCCTTTGACACCTTCTTACAGGTATGCGTGTGTCATGTCAGGGACATGGAGGTCGATTCTAAACTGGAAACGCTTTTTTTTTTTTTTTAGATGTTCCTGGAAATTCTAAATCCATTATTTTCTTTTGTAAAGGAGTATTGGAGCGACCAAATGAAAAATCAGCATAAGGAACACACAGGGGGACTTGGCTGAGGGGGTAATAGTCATAGAGAGATTGGTCCTCGGAGCTCAGAGTGAGAACAGTTCAGAGAAATCCTATGCAAACTTTCCTGTTTCACCCTAACTTAAATTTTAAAGCCACGATGTAGAAAGGTCCTCCGAGTTCGGGGAATTACCCACGTCCTCCAGAAGAGATCCACCGCGGCCTGAGGAGCTAGTGCTAAAGACACGGAAAATAATGGCTCCTAAGTAAACAAAGTGGCCAGGGACATGCTGGGTCATTCTTCCTTGCCGACATCTGTGGAGAAGCTTTCCTATAGTCTGTGCAGGGGACACCTTCCTTCAGGTGGACAGGGCAGCTCTCTCAGAACTAAAATAACACATGCTGGGCTGTCTAACACCTGTCGGGTCTGGATCTGTCTGACCTGCAAGGGGGCCAGAGGGAAAAGAAGGATTTGGAGTTGGAGTCCAGTGCGCTGGCGTGGAGGAGGAGAGCTGCTTTTCTGGCACTTGAAAGGAAAGGAGTGTGACTTTAAATCTGCAGTCTCTTACTGTCTCTGGGGTCTTGATCACGCTCCTTTCCCTCTTGGCCTGTTTTCCTCACTGAAACTGTAGGGACTAGGGTTCAGCTGGATGGCAAATCACTTAAGAGCACTGATTGCTCTTTTCAGGGGATCTGAGTTCAATTCCTCGTACCCACATGGCCACTCAAAACCTCTGTAACTCCAATTCTAGGGTATCTGATGCTCTTTTCTTACCCCATGGGCAGCCCACCCATGCAAATGGTGCTCAGACCTGCATGCAAACACAAACTAAAAATAAAATAAAAAATTGAAAGAAATACCGAGACTAGCAGCTATGGGCTCTGCTCTCTGAAAGAAGTGAGCAAGGATAGCAAAGTAAGGGTCCTGTCCCCCCCCACAGACCCCCCCCCACACACCCGCAAACCTGTTTTTCTGTTTTCATTTTCCCACTCACTCCGTATCTTCCTGAGGTACTGTACCTTTCAGATTGATATTTATGATGGTCTGTCTGGGAATGACACCCGTGACGTCAATGACGGCCGCGGTATGAATGACAACAGAGATGCCCTGGCAGGCTCTCTGCAGGCACTGGGCATCCAAAATGTCTCCCTTCAGCACGGTCACCTTGGCTTTTGTCTGCAGCTCTGAGAAACACAAAGCAGCTCATTGGGAAACCTTTCTGCACGGGGTGGAAGATTCCTGACACAGTGTCAGTTGCCAAGGCCTTCAAGGGCAGTCACAGAGCCAGGGGATCCTGGGGAGGAGGCTTTTCTACTGAAGGAACAATAGATGCACAGCAGTCAGAATGCAGCATTTGTAGGGAAGGAGGGAGCATCGTTTCCACCCCCATCCTTTTGTGGAAATGAATCCGAGCAGGAAGATGTCATTTGTGCCTTGCACATGAAAACAGAGTTATGGAAATTCATAAACTCATTAAACCGATCAGAGAAGTGGTGGTAGTCAAATGTAAAACGGGAGAAATAGGATTTGATTGACAGAGAAGAGGAATCACTTGTGGATTTGGACTGAGGGAGAAGCAGAGGCAGAGTCCTGAGTGGGAAGCTGTAACAGAGGTCTCAGGTTGTGAATGTTCAGGCATGAAGACGTACGAGTAACCCGGATAAGGAACAGGTTACTCAGACTGTGTCCTCCAGAGCTCCAGTGAGGAGGATCCAGAAGAAGGGAGCACAAAGATGGAAAATTCAGGCCAGCCCTGATAGGACTCAATGCTTTCTGGGTCTGTGCTGAGTCCAAATGGAGAGTCAGCTCAATTACAAAGGGAAACTTGAGTGGCAAAGAGAGAACTCAGAACGGGCTCCAATGATGGGTGTGATTGAAGGACTGTCAGTATATGGCAGATGTCAGAAGTGTGCACTGCACACAAGTCACTCCCTAAGAGACCTGCCTTGCAGACAGGAAGCCAGGGCAGCAGATCAGGCAATATCTGCCCGCTTCTCTAACACCTACACGATGACACTGGCCTTCATGCCGGCCAGCTGAATTACGAGCAACCCGCCGTGGGCAACCTACACCCAACCCTGACGTTGAGCCTCTACTTCCCTGCAGGGTTGTCTTGCTACACTTTCAAACCAGACCTTGGCCTTGCCCCAGGGACCGTGATAACAGCAAAGAATTAAGAGCTGCTCCACCTGCAAAGTCTGAAGGCATTTTCTTTGTCAAGATGAAGGACTGGAAAGGAGCAGAGGAATTCAGGGGAGGCACCTGTGACCTTGCTGGCCCTACCCCTGTTCTGATTCTATCCTTTATACTGCTCTGTGTGTGTTTTCTCTGCTGTAGTCTCTCACTCTCTGCTGTCTCTGTCTCTCCTTCACTCGCAGATTTTATATATATATACATATATACATATATATGTGTACACACACACACACACATATATATATATATATATATTTCCAATTCAATGGGAGAAAGCTAAATGGCTTTTCTCTGTAAAACAAAATGAGAAAAAAAAAAAAAAAACAGCCAAGACCACTAGGAAGGCAGTGATCTATTGATAAGGTCTCCAACCCCATGACATTGCTTATGCTGTGGAACCGTAGGCAAATCTACGGTAGCACAAATCTACAAATCTATAATGCACTTTAAAAAAGAGAGAACAGATTGAGATTTCCAAATGGGAAGAAGGCCAGAGGCCTGGAGGTCCATCAGTTGCCCCCATGAATCCCTTGTGTAGATCTGGGACAAGCCAGACATCGGCCTCATTGCATGGTGTATTTTAAGCTGTGTCTTCCTGATGAGCGTGAGCACGGGAGAAGCATTGGGCTCCAAGAGCTCTATATTGCTAAACACCAAACCCTCTCAATGCCCAGTCAGCATTCGCTGCTGTCACACAAACAGAGCCTCTGGTTTACTTACTGGCGAATTCCTCCCTGGTTTCTGGTCTGAAGACTTTGTCCAGGGCCCTGATCTCCTGCAGCTCTTCCTCCTGAGTCAACATGCAGACGACCCTCTGGCCCAGAAACCCTCCTGCTCCTGTCACCAGACAGCTCCACCCCGGCATGGTCAACACAGGAAGCAGACGGCAGAGGGAGCAGGCACTATGTAGGAGACCCTAGAAAGGGCTAGAAAGAGAGGTGCGATGAGACCCGTTTTCCAGTAGTCCTCAGATTCGCTCTAACCGATTTTTGCAGACACTCGATGTCTTCACCAGCACTGAGGGACTACGGTAAAGGTGGTGTCCCAACCTTCTAAACTGCAATCGTCTCAGCCCTCAGGACCCGCGTTTTATCGTTTTATGCTCTGATCTCCTGATTCATCTTACCTGGACTCATGCCCACTTTGAGATCATTATTTATCTTTCTCTGTGGTTTCCACCTCCTCCTCCAGAGACTGATAAATATTACGGCCTTTATGCTTGACACTGGAAGAAAAGCCTGCTTCAAGGCTATATTGTGATAAAGACTTTATTTTGCTTGGATATGCGCACACGTCTTACAAGAATATTGACGACATACAAAGGACCAATAGACATAAAATACTAAAGAATTTTAGAAAAAATGAGGGGCACGGTGGTGCATGTCTTTAATTCCAGCACTTTGGAGGTAGAGTCAGGTGGATCTCTGTGAGTTCATGGCCAGGCTAATCCACAGAAGGAGTTCCTGCTGGATAACCCTGTCTCAAAGAAAACCAAAAAGAACCGAACAAAAATAATTAGACTAGATACAACCAATTACTAGGTGGCATCTCAGGATCATTATATGAAAGTTTTTTAAACTAGAATTTGAATTTGTTTCATGAATACCTACAAGGTATCCTAGTAAGCATTTATTGAGACTACTTTAATATTCTTTTTTTTTTGTGTGGTTTGTGAGTGACATGACTCTCTTTAATTTCCCTCTCTTTCAGAGGTGTGGCATTTTTTATCACATACCTTGCATGTTAAAATGGCTCAGAGTTGCATATTTGATTGTTCAATACTTTGTTTCCCAGGCTGTCCAAGGGTGCCAGCCGCTGGGTATTGTGGCTCTATAGCTCATCCACTGCCAGGATGTATATCTACATCAACTGATTGCACAGGAGACTAAGTCTCCCTGAAGAAAGTCTGTGCTACAGAATGACATGTATGTCTAGTAACTATTCTCTCACTCTTTCCCCAAAGGAACCTACTTTAATATTCTTTATTAAGAATATTTATTTCTTAGAATAATTTGTATGACTTTATTAAGTCATACAAATAGCTACAAGTTAACAAACTTTATTAGAAAGGATAAGCCCAGAGACTTCTCACTTCAGACTGTAGGAAATGGTAATTGCGGACGGCCCCGAAGGAGTGTCTGAGTATGACTGTGGTAGGTCAGAACCATGGTAGGACAGCTTCATGGGTTGTGTAACCTTGGAGTTGGATCTTGGTGTCTTTAAACAGTGAGGGAAAAAAATCCAAGAAAATACAGATTAGAAAGTTCACTTAAAGCAGTGGGGATGTTCTGTGCTTGTGTTTCAAGAATTCTGGGAATCAAGGGGATTACTTTTTAACTTGTAGACCAGTTCCTAGTACAGATAATGGGTTTTCTGTCAACAAAACAGCCAACGGTTCACACAATGGACTGGAGTTCAGGGTGTGAACTTAAACTAGAATAAATAGATAAACCTCCAGATGCAATGGTGGAGTTTGTTCCGTGAAGTAAGCACATCTGAAAAGAATGCCAACCTTGGCAGATTCTTTTGTCTCTAGCTTTGAATACGATAAGAAATGCCCATCCTTGCTTGCAAACGTTAGAAACTTGCAATGGTAGCACTTTTACTCATTAAGTAATGCACAGAGATTCCAAAATCTCCGTCCCAAGACCTTTGGGCTCTCATTGAAGGAGGTGAGTTAACAGCAGCCACTTTCTTAAGTGGCTGTGGTCACAAGAGAGATTGTATGCGTATGCCACAGTGGCTCTCCTCAAGGGGGCTTGTACTAGCTTGAAGTGAAGGTAGTAGGGGTACTTCTGAAGCCCACAGCTCAGAGTTCTCCAGCACCCTGCATGTGCTACTTAGGACATGGCTCTTTCCTCTACCTTTAGAACAGGTGGGTGTGAACACACGCCAAAATGGCCAGAGAGTAGGCTGTTCAGGTCGGTCAGTCTTCACATGGATACCCCCCACACACACATACATGCACACACATACATGCACACACATACATGCACACACATACATACACACACACACACACACACAGAGAGAGAGAGAGAGAGAGAGAGAGAGAGAGAGAGAGAGAACAAGTCCACTATCCCAGAAAACTCCTCCCTGCCATTTTACAGAGCAGACTGTTTCCACCCAGTCTACTGCAGAGATGATGCCCATCTGATTTTGACCATGAACTTCTCATTATATTCCCATATCCTGACAGTTTTTTTCTAAGCTACTTTTGATTTTTGATATATGTTGAAATATACAAGCAAAACTAAAATTAAGCTTTGTTCGTAGAGTGCAAAAAAAGAAAACTTGATTTTTCTCCAGTTTGTCTATTTCCTTGTTTCATTTGTTTCTTTTGTTTTTATTATTTGCATCTGGTGATTTAATTTGGACTTACTCTCTACTTTTTTCTGACATCTTACGGTAATACCTTAGCTGATTAAAACCTTCTTCAACTGTAATCCGCACTCAGTGAATCTGTTTCCTAATGTCCCAAGTAGTCCTTTCTTTCACTCAGGTATTGTTTACAAGTGTGTTTCTTATGCTATGGAAGTGAGGAACTTTCTTAGCTTTATTGCTATTGGTTCTTAATTCAGTAGCCATGTGACCATAACATGATTGCTGAGTGGTTTTTTGACTCTTTGATGCTTATTGAGTTTTTTTTTTTTTTAAAGGATGTGTTTTCTGAAATGGTTGGAGATAACTTTTATTTGAAGAGTTCCACATTCTACTTTGGACCACCTCCTTGCCATTTTGTCACTATTTTTCTCTTCTGTCCTGGGTCCGGAATCCCCGAGCTTCAGACACACTTGCTCAGGGAAGGATGACCCTGTGTATCACGCAGCTGTTAGTTAAGGGCCTTTCTTCTGATGACCTCTTCAGGCTTTCTCAGCACCCCTCTAAGTGAATTGCACCTTTGCCAGCTATAGCTAACGTCATAGCATACCTTAAAGACTCCTCCTTTGCCCGAAGACAAGGGAATTAATTCTGTCATTCTAATTATTTCTGTAGCGGCGCCAGAGGCTGGGAGATCTAAGCTACTGCTCCCCTCGGAAACCTCCTAAGCTGGTCTTCTACATACGGTACACGTTACTCTCAGCAGTACTGCCTTCTGAGCTCCTACTGCATTCCAGTGTTGGAGCACTACCCTTCTTTGTTACGTTTTATATGAAGAAAGCACAACCAGAGAAGCTTTACTAACAGAGGAACACTTAGGCTGGTACTGCTAGGTAGTCCGGGCTGCATGTATTAGCCTTCCACAGGGGAAATATGGGGGAAAGTAGCACTCAGTATCTGGAGTTCTTGAGACTTGTGGAAAATTTTTCCCTTTTCTACATCAGTTTTGAATGATTGGGTCCCTGTCTTCTAATGCTCTAGAGAGGCAAATTTGGAAAGGAGCAATCTAGGACAGGTTTTTAAGCTATAGGACTAAATGGAATAGTCTCAAAATAGGCATTGATAAAAGTGCTAAATCTCAAGATAGAATCCTGGACAGACATACCAAGATTCAGAGCCTGATCGGAGGTACAAGAGCCATTCAAGGAGACTGAATAGGAGGTGGGAGGTGGAGGACAGTGAAGATGACACAACACCATGGAAGTCAAGACAAAAAAGAGTGCTTTCGGCCAGAGAGATGGCTCAGTGTTTCTGTGTGTACAGTGATCTTCTGGAGGACTTGAGTTTGGTTTGTAGCACCCATGTTAGGTGGGTCACTATGTCCTGTGACCCCGCTCTAGGGTTTTCTGTTCTTTCTTCTAGCCTCCATGTATATCTGCATACATGTAGCAGCACATGCACATAATATACATACATAAAATAAAGTAAATTTTAGGGAAAGGAAGAGTGTCTCTAAGAGGAGTGTGCTGGGTGTCATTAAGGTATCTAATTCAAGAAGACAGAATTGGCTGTTGGTTTAGGTAATGTCAAGCTCATTCTTAGAGCAATGGCCTCAAGAAGTTGGGGTGAAATCCACTTGGAAACCAATAACAAATTCATCTGGGTAGGAGGAGCAGATAAAAAAATGAAGGAAATGAACAAATGCGCAAAAATCTGATTTAAGAATTTGTATGTTGAAGATCTCGGTTTAAAAAAAAAAAAAAACTTTTGAAGGCCAAAGTGTCAAAGTTTTGTTCTTATCATGAAGCTTTTAAATCTGAGCTATTCTTTCAACCAGTACCTAGCTCCTAGTATTGTAGGTGGCCAAAATGAATCATAGAGAATAGGAATTCAATACAAAGGGAATGTTGGCTTTGGGAACAGCATGTTCATTAGTAATTTGACAGCAACAACTTCCATGAAAGGTTGTTCTGCAAGTCTTGGATGTTTGGGATGTTGTGCTGACTAGTTTATAAGACAACTTGACATAAGTTATAGTCATCTGACAGGAAGAAACTAATTGAATAATAATGCCTTTATAAGATTTGGCTTTAAGCAAGCCTGATGGGCATTTTCTTAATTAGTAATTGACCTGAGAGGACCCAGTTCATTGTGAGTGGGTCACCCCTGGGCTGGTAGTTCTGGGTTTTATAAGAAAGCGGTCTGAACAAATCATGAGGAACAAGCCTGTAAGCAGCACTCCTCCGTGGCCTCTGCGTCAGCTCTTGCCTCCAGATTCCTGCCCTATTTAATTCCTTCTCTAACTTCCTTCAGATCATGAACAATGCTGAAGAAGTATAAGCCAAATCAACCCTTTCCTCCCCAGTTTGCTTCTAGCCATGGTGTTTTATGACTGCAGTAGAAACCCTGAGTAAGACAGAAATTGGTACCAGTATAGTGGAGTATTGCTGTGAGAGACCTGATCATGTTTTGGGGAGGATGGTGGAAGGACTTTGAAACTTTGGGCTGCAAAAGCTATTGCGTGTTCCAAGTGTGATGAGTTATTCTGTTGGAGCCTGAAAGATAAGAGTGTTGAGAGAAACACAGATAGGGGAGGCTGGCTTACGAAATCCCAGTGGGAAATTTGATAATCTGTGGTTCTGGTTAGCTGGGGCTAAAGAATTGTCTGAGATTAGCAAGAGACCAGAACCACAAAAGTGAAACCTTTGCTTTGCTGGGCTAATTGACAATGGGCATCTGGAACTGAGAAATTATCAAGGGTGAAGAAGAGACATGCATAGTTGAGGTAAACACTTGTGGGAGCACACAGAAGCTGTGTCCTAAGGGTGGCCGAGAGTATCTTTTGCTGGCAGCTGAGTGTTAAGAGTCACTTAGATGGTACTGGTTTTGAAGGCATGAAGGATTTATGGAGAACAGGTGATGTATGACACTGTGTGGCAGGACTGGAGTCCCTAAAGAGAGCCCAGGAGAAGGTACTGGTTGAAGGGTAAGCTGGGTGTAGCAAGAGACCCCTGCACTTAGGAGATTCCAATGCCGTGGGATGAGCACCAAGAATAAGAGCAGCCGTGGAGTGGAGCCTGTCTGAGCTTAGGAGGTAATCTGTGTGTGCTGCGGAGGGTAGAGCCAGAAATGGCCAAGGATCTGTGCAGAAACCCAGATGATCTTCAGTAGACCTCAGGCACTGAACACATGGACTTATTTACACAGTTGGGGTTGTTTGGATTCTGACTCTGCTCTGGCTCTTCCCTCTTGAAGTAAAAAAAAAAAAGTTTTGATTTTGTAAGAGGCCACAGTTAAGAGATTTTGGAGTTTTATAGAGACCTTAGATTTAAAAAGAGACTGAACTTTTAAAGCGTTTGAATTTGTAATGACTGTGAGACCTTTAAAGTTTATAATGTTTTATATTGTAATATTAATATGAGTTGTTGGGAACAAGAAAGGAAGGGTTATGTTTAATAAGTGTCTTAGGGTTTCTATTGATGCTATGAAACACCATGATCAAAAAGCAAGTTGGAGAGAAAAGGGTTTATTTGGATTATACTTCCAGATTGCTTTCCATCATCGAAGGAAGTCAGGATATGCACAGAAACAGGGCAGAAACCCTGAGCAAGAGCTGGGACAAAGGCCTCGAAGGAGTGTTGCTTATGGAGTTGCTCCTCATGGCTTGATCAGACTGCTTTCTTATAAAAACCAAAACTACCAGCCCAGGGGTGGCTCACTCACGATGAGCTGGGCCCTCCAATGTCGATTACTAATTAAGAAAATGCTCAGCAGACTTGCTTAAAGTCAAATCTTATAAAGGCATTTTTTTTTCCAATGGAAGTTTTTTCCTGTCAGATGACTCTAACTTGTGTCAAGTTGTCTTAAAAACTAGCCAGCACACATCCAAAACAACCAAGACTTGCAGAACCTTTCATGGAAGTTGTTGCTGTCAAATTACTAATGAGCATGCTGTTCCCAAAGCCAACATTCCCTTTGTGTTGAATTCCTATTCCCTATGATTCATTTTGGCCACCTACAACACTAGGAGCTAGGTATTGTTTAAAAGAGTAGCTCAGATTTAAAGGCTTCCTGTTAAGAACTTTCCACAGGGCAGGGAACCCTGACTGCTCTTTGGACTGGAGAGGGAGGGGGAGAGGAGTGGGGGGAAGGGGAGAAGGATGGGAGGAGGGGGAGGGAAATGGGAGGCTGGGAGGAGGCGGAAACTTTTTTTTTCCTTTTCTCAATAAAAAAAATATTGTGAAAACATCATGTAAATAGAAAAGGGGTTGTTTGGAATATAAAGAGGGTGAATAAGAATAAAAAAGGAGAACAAAGAATTGTTTTGGGATATTGAATGTGAATAAATATATAACATACATGTGTGAAAATGTTGTAGCAAATCCCATTGTTCTTTTCACTATATTTTTTAAATTAAATGCAGAGAAACACATTCAAAGTTTTAAGGAGTGGTTCATATAACTTAAAATTAAATCTAGCTCTCCTACTAATCCCACCTATTGAGAATAAAATCACTACCACAGCATAAAGCCAAATTTGAAGTAAGCTTTAATTAAATACTGCCCAGGTGGATGGTCTCTGGCCAGGTCCATCTTTACTTTCCCAGAAAAGAAAATAATAGCCCCTAATCAGTTTTTACAGTGGTTTAAGTATTTCCCATCAGGTCCAATAAGGAGCAACAATGCATCCTGACATATTTACACCCTACATCCAATCAGGGACAAGCATCCATCAGACTAACTTGTTTAGGGGAGTAAGCCACACATGGCCTTTCACCTCCCATGCACAAAACCTCCAGAATTTCAGGAACTTTCTGTCCTTTGGTAAGGGGGTTGCAGATCAGAGGCATTTTTATTTCATGGATCTCTATGGCATAGTAATTAAAAATGTAACTGTCGCCATGGTTCTCACACTCCCTGTAGCTCAGATGTTGTCTTGAGATGTCAGTAATATGATTTTGGAAGGCCTCCCCCCCCTCTCATTTTATACTTTGTGTTTTAATCTAGTCAAATGTTGTTTTCATCTGACATTTACAAACGTGTGCTGAAACATAACAGTGTATCTTATGCTTAATTAAGCACCAGATAGTTTGAAGAAATGATCAGTTTCAATTTTATCAGGCTGTTTGGGTTAAAGGCTGTGAGTCTGATTGAGGCCAAAGAACTGAGGAAAGCTAAACCCTAACGGTTTTCTTTGATTTATAACTTTCCTTTATTTCCAAAATAGCCTTCATAGAAAAGGAAATTGCAAGCTTGTACCGAAAGACACTTGGCTATTTTCACTGGATTGCCTTGTTTCAGCCCAGTAGTAAAAAGGGAGCCTTTCAATCTATTAGAAAAAAATATAATAATGGTTAGGACCTGAACAGTTATACAAAACAGAAATTGGCTTGGCCCAGCCACTCAAATCCTGTTGCTTTTATTGGATATGGTTTCTTTTTCAGTAAGTGTTTTTTGAGTCGCTGAGGCTGGAACCATAGCTACAGACCCTTGTTTTAGAACACGCTCATATGGAGATGCTGTCAGGGCTCTGTGCCTAAAAGGGGACTCTGGAGAGGAATGTCTGGGTATCTACCAGCGAGACTGTTTATGTAAAGCCTTGTGCTTATTTCTATGTCCTGTCGGTGTGGAAAGCTTTTCTCTATAAGAAATTTCTTCTAAGTCCTCATGTGGTTTTTCTTTACATTTTCTTTATTGCTAGTTTTTGTTCTTGTTTTTACTTTTAGACATCAATGATAAAAAAAAAGAAAAGAAAAAAGAAACAAACCCAGCATCGTGATCCATTTTCCAGCATATTCTTGTGGGCTACTCAGTGAACTAGTTTCAGAAGTAGCCCATCCCTGAAGCAGCAGTGACAATTCAGGAAATAATCATTTTGAATCATTCATGACCCAGTCACCCTTGACATTCTGAACATTTTGTTTGAGAATAGAAGAACTGAACAAGAGACGGTAATGGTCATTATTATGAAGCACTAACTGCTGCTCAGATGGTTAGGAGCACCCAG